TCCAGAGTTCTAGGTCTGCTATTCAGTGACCAAGAGACATTGGGTATGTTACCTGATCTTGCTGGACTTCCTTTTCTTCATTGGGAAAATGAATATGATAATAACACATGTGTACATCACAATGGGGGGGGGGGATAAAGATCTAATTATGTAATGGTGGTAAAAGGCCTCTGAAAACTACATATTGATAAAGAAATTATGAGCTGTATCAATGGGTGAAAGTTACAAGAAGGAAGGTTTTTGTTCAAAATCCTGAAACAGTAATAGCTGCCTAGGGATGAAGTGACTTGCTTCCTGAACTAATGGGTGCCTCCATTACTAGATACAGCCATCTGATAAGGTTCTTAAGGATGTGAAGATAGAGGAAGGGCTATCAACTGGGTCCAGGCCTGGGCTCAAGGAGTCCACCAATGTCTTGAAATCACAAACTCTGTTGGTGCTTGAAGTACATACATATTTCTGGAGAAGATCCACAATTTTATTTAGATTTGTAAAAAGGCCAATGAGTCACAAAAGGTAAAGAATAAAAACATGATACTTGATATTACTTACAACTCTGTTGAGTGTATTATCCTTTGTAGACTTTAATATAAGTGTTGAAGAAACTGAGCATATGTTTTTGTGTGTGTGCTGTCTTTCAGTTGAGGGGACAAGAAGAGAGAATCCGAGTATTTTTTCCAGGCCTCTGTGACTTCTTCAGGATGCTTGCCCACCCCATCCATTCCTGGCTTGGGACTGAGTGTTTATACATTTACCTGTATGGCCCGCTGAGTGCTGGCTCTTGATAACTAAACCCTAAATGCTATGACACCTTCATGGTCAGCACTATCCTTGATATTGTTCCTATTTTCAAGGATTTGCTCCAGTCCGTGCTTAAATGATAGGCTGTTTGTGGCTTGGTGTTCTTTCTGCATCCTTTCTCCAATCTCACAGAAATAGAAGATTTAGCTGAGTATGTGGTTGCCAGCTAAAGACCACATTTTCCAGTTTCCCTTTCAGCTTTGGGAGGGACTGGGTTTTTGGCAGAGCCGTGAACAGAGTGATAAGTACAACTTCCAGCTAATATCTTTTTTTCTTTTAGGTTTATTTATTTATTTTGACATAGAGAGAGAGAGATAGAGAGAGAGAGACCATGATCAGGGGAGGAACAGAGAGACAGAGAGGGAGAGAGAGAGAGAATCCCAGGCAGGCTCCACACTGTCAGCATGGAGACCAACGCAGGGCTCGAACCCACAAACTGTGAGATCATGACCTGAGCCGAAACCAAGAGCTGGACGCTTAACTGACTGAGCCACCCAGGTGCCCCTCCAGCTAATATCTTAAAGAGGAAAGGTGACTGCCTTCCCATTCCCTTTTACCTCCTCCCACTTGAAGGCAGGTGTGGTGGCAGGAGCTAGCAGCCATCTTAGGTCATTTATTGAAAACCATGTGTTGAAGATGGAGAACAAGATACACAGAGCCTGGATACCTGGTGACCTTGTACAGCGAACTACCCTACTATTTCTGGACCACCTATTTCCTCAATTTCATGTGAGAGAAAAAGGAATTTTTATCTTGTTTAAGCTCCTCTATTTGGGCATACTTCTGTTGTAGTGAGCTGTTATTGGATGTGACCAGTACTTTATTTTCATTTCTTATCCGTCCGGATAGTCAAAGTCAGTTTGCTTTCACTTGGCGAGGACAATATACTTCTACTGTTTGTTTCAGGGCTATTAAAAACATTTTTTTTTTAGTATAGTTGACACACAATGTTACATTAGTTTCAGGTGTACAACATAGTGATCCAACTTCTCTATATGTTTTGCTATGCTATGCTCCCCACAAGTGTAGCTACCACCTGCCACCATACAACAGTATTACAGTATCATTTACTATATTCCCTATACTCTGCCTTTTCTTCCCATGATTTATTCATTTTGTGACTGGAAGTGTTTCAGGGCTAAATTGTCCAGTTCATTGCCCATAATTTTGCTGCTGGGGGACATCTGAGAAAGGGCAGAAGCAGTTTCCACCCCTCTGAGGCCTCAATTTATATGTCCCTTTCTTAAGGAGGGCTTTCTAAACAACCCAATCTAAAGTAAGTGCCCCTTCATTACTGTCTTGCTCGGCTCACTTATTTCCTTCATGGCACTTAGTGAAATTCATAATGATTTGTTACCCAACTTGCACTTTAGGAAACAATCTCCTACCTGGCTCAGTAGGTCGAGTGTCTGATTTCAGCTCAGGTCATAACCTCATGGTTCATGAGTTTGAGTCCCACATTAGGCTCTCTGTTGTGGGCACAAAGCCTGCTTCAGATCCTCTGTCCCCTACGCTCTCTGTCCCTCCCTGCTCATTCTCTCTTTCTCTCTCAAAATAAATTTTAAAAAATTTAAAAAAGGATACAAGTTCCATGAGGGCAGGGATCATAACTGTGCATTCACTGAATGCTTATCATAATATCTGACATGCAGTGGACACATAAACATCAAATGAGCGATGAATCTGGAAATTATTATTATTATGGTTATTATTTGGAAATTATTAAAAATTCCTGCTCAGGTTTCACAAGCATTGTTACCACCAGGGAAATCTGTAGACTATCTTTTAAAAAATTATTAATATTAATTTATTAAAAAAATTTTTTTTAAATATGAAACTTATTGTCAAATTGGTTTCCATACAACACCCAGTGCTCATCCCAAAAGGTGCCCTCCTCAGTGCCCATCACCCACTTTCCCCTCCCTCCTTCCCCCCATCAACCCTCAGTTTGTTCTCAGTTTTTAAGAGTCTCTTATGGTTTGCCTCCCTCCCTAACTTTTTTTTTCCTTTCCCTCCCCCTCCCCCATGGTCTTCTGTTAAGTTTCTCAGGATCTACATTAGAATGAAAACCACATATGGTATCTGTCATTCTCTGTAGACTATCTTGATAATATTCCAAATGAAGGTTTTCTTATCTAAGATTCAAATCCCAGAAACCAAAAAGAAAAGTTTATTTATCTTAATTCATGAAAATTTTGAATTTCTGTATGATAAAAGACACCATAAATGTATTCCTATAAAAATGCAAGAATGGGGAAAGTTATAAAGAAAAGTTACAATCAAGGGCTATTATCCACAATATTAAAGAACTCATACGAATCAGTAAGAAAAAGACAAACAACTCCATTGGAAAATAAGCATAGATGATGTATGAATCACAGACAACAAAACAAAGATAATCACAAATGGCCAATAAGCATGTTTTTAAAACTACAAATAGTGTAAAAATCCAATAATAAGAAAATAGTTCAATAAGTTATAGTATATCCATGTTATAAAATATTATGAATCCATTGATTAGGAATAAGATGTATTTTTTATTAAGTGAAAAAAACAAGAATAATATGGATATGATTCCATCTATAAGAATGCATACTTACATATGTGTGAAATGTATACATACATACATGAAATGTATAGGAAAAACTCTGAAAGAATGCACACCAAACTATTCTGTTTTTAGGAAAACGCGTAGGAGATGTGTCAGGGCGTGGGTCAGGGCAGAGACGTGTAGCGTATGTGAAGTGGGATTTTTACTTTTTACTTTACATGCTTTTCTAGTGTTGGAAATCTTTTACTGTGAACATTTATTCACTTATTACTTGTGCAATTCCAAAAACTATTTCTAAAAAGCAGAAAACATATGGAAGTCACTTAGCAAAATTCTTGGTATACAGCATTAATAGAAGACAGAATCAAACAGTAATGATTGGAAAATCTCCCCAAATCATACCGAAACAGATCTAAGTGACACAGGGTATCACCTGTGCACCTTTGGATAATGTGCAGTTATACAGAGACCCCCATCACACCTACCCCTAACCCTCCCACTGTACCTTGATTCTTTACCATTTTTTGGCCCATTAGCTGTAATTTAACTTTATTTTTTTAAATGTTTATTTATTTTGAGAGAGACAGAGAGAGAGAGAGAGAGGCAGAGAGAGAGAGAGAGAGAGAGAGAGAGAGAGAGAGGA